TATAAATACATCTTCTAGGGCATTGTAATTCTATAAAGCATTCTACCTTTACCCTTACCATTTTGAATTGTTATGTTTGATTGCATGCTATTTCTTTCAAATAAACTGAAATCTTTTGAAGGTAGAAAAAAACCTCATTGCCTTTTCATTCAATGTCATAGTGTACATTAAATGACATCTACATAGTGAGAAAATATTATCCCCATTCATTTTTAAAATCATTCATTTGTTCAGCTAATTTTTTTTGACTACACACTTTGTGTTAAGCATTTGCTTGGAGGCAAAATAAATATGGTTTATGACATGTTCAGACAAGTTGAGAATATGTTATCTAGATCAGTGAAAACCAGATTTATGGTCAGGGAACTTGAGCGTAAATGCTGACTTTGTACTTATTAGTTGTGCCATAATTTAAGGTATTAGTGTCTCATCCAGAAAATGGAACTGGCAATGCTCTGTCTACCGCTCAGAACAAAGGAGATAAAAGCACATGATACTTTATTTGCAGACATCTCTAAATGAAAAAATATAGTGACTTAATGACTTTAATTCATCTGCAAATTATTTGTTCCTTTTCCTTTTAATGGATGAACTCTAATTCCCCTCCACTTGCAGATAAATAGGACCAAATGACATCACTAGTGAATAAAGCAGAAGTGCTGGTGTAGAGTTTTGGAAATTAAGTAATAAAAATGCACCTGGCTTTCATCTTTGTCATTGTGCTTCTGTAATTGTTTGGAAAAAGCCACTTGTATTTTCTATGTGAACTTAGCAAAAGCCCCAAATGGTGAGGAATTATGGAGCCCTTAAGGTCAGGAAAAGAGTCCTCACCTTGGGTCCAGTCTTCAAATGACTGAAGCTTCAGCGAGAGATTGGCCTCCCCTAAGAAAGAACCTGCGTTAATGCCACTCAGCTAAGCTGTTCCTGAGATCCTGATCTCCAGAAGACATATGATTGAGTGTGTATCTTAAATATTGCTAAGAGTTGATGCTATTTAATGAATTATACAGAGTTATTTAGAGATTTGAGGTATTTTCATAGAGCATGCTACTTGTTGAATGAAGAATGCCATATTTGGTCTAGAATGTGCCGGGCTGGGCTAGACCCCAACACCTACTGCTGCTCGTGAGGACCAGGGTAGGTGTATGATGGGCTAGGCTAGGTTTTTGCCCTTGCTGAGCTGAGTGTGAGTTGTATCTGTGTGTGGACCAAGCTAGAATTGGCTGCAGCACCCAGCAACAAGAACCAGAATGGGTGAGGGCCAATCAGGAAAAGTCACTGTTCCTGTGGGTCAGGAGGTGGACTAAGTAGGGCTGGCCCATGGATGCACCAGTTTGGGTGAGATCTGGCACTGGGAGAGATCCTGATGGAGGAGCTTGAGTAACTTCTCTGACATGCTCTTTGCAGGTGAATGTAAGACCAAGATGGGAGCAACCCAAGCCAGGCCAAAATACAGTACCCACCAGCATACATTTGGTCAGGGGCAGGCCAAGCTGGATCAGTTTACATCACCTGCTTGTAAATCTGAGTGCCAGAATGGAGTGTGGGTCATGCCAGGTCGGGATGCAATACCAGCTAGTTCACATTAAAGTGGGGACTGGGGGCTGGCATGACTGGGCTAGGCTGTAGCCCCCACTAGTGTGAGCTGGAACTGGGGGTGGGCCTGGCCTGGACAGGCTAGAGCACCCACTGGAAAATGCTGAGGTGAGGCAGGCTGTGCCAGACTGGGCTGCAGCACCCAACCAGCACATGTGAAACCCATGGGGGCAGTGGAGATGAATCTAGTGGGTTGGCTGAGGGGACCCCTCTATTGTTCCACTACTCCCACTGGTGAGCATGAGAGCTGGGATGGGGACAGACCAGGCCAGATAGGGCTACAACATCTGATAGCCTACCTGTGATCTGGATCAGTGAAATCCAGGCTGGGCTGACTGTGCTTTCTGGTGCATGTGTAAGCCAGAGTGGGTGAGGGTGGCTTAAGCTTTGCTGCAGCATCAGCTGGCAGGTGCTGGCATGGGGGGGGGCAAATTCTGTCAGGCACAAGCATGGCTAGATTGGTAGTGATACCTGCTGGCACCGGCGTGGACTGGATAGTGGGGCTGGTTGGGATGAACTGGGCTTCAATGCCCATTGACATGTACAAGACCTAAATTGGATTTGGGACAGAACAGACCAATCTGCTGCACATATTGGCAAGCATGAGAACCAGAGTAGGGGGTGGGCCTGGTGGGGGTTATTGCTGGTTGCTCCAAGTAGGCTGCTGCTCCCACTGGTTTGCATGAAGGCTGAGTATGTGGTGAGCAGGATAGGGCTAGACTCCAACACCTTTCGGTTTGCATAAAACATGGTCCTGGAGGTAGAACTGACCCAGCAATTGCACACACCAATGTGTGCATAGGCTGATTTGGTTGATGGATTGTGCTGGACTCTGTATTGGCAAACACACACAAAAATTGTATCTGGGATGGCCTCAGATGTGCTTTCTTTGGTGATTCCATACCAACTGAACTGCTGGACGCAGAACCTAACCATGGAGAGATGGGCTGACTGTGGAGTGCATGTGTCAGAGCTGGGCCTCTTTAGTGGCTCAGATGGCACAGTGGACAGCATATCCAAATGCACATGGAAGATATGGCAGTACATTGGAGCCCCTAGAGGATACCTGGTACCATGGCAGAGGATGGAGGACAGAACAAATTGATCAGCTACTCCAACCAAGCATTGGCAGTGAATATCCAGGCAGATGGAGACTCTAAGGTGGACCATAGCAGCCAGTGGATTCTGGAGAGATTTCATTGTGACTGGAGTGGTGGAATCGACAACAATTCAGGACTGTTGAACTATCAAAACCTCTTGAGAATTTCATGGCATTATAAATTTGTTTTTCTTCCTGTTGTTGATTTTGTACTGTGGCTTTTCATTTAAGGGTATGTGTGGTAACTGTGTAATGGAGACTATCATATCCAGATTTGAGGATGCAATGCAGTCTGCATTTCTGCTTCCAGATGAAAGAAGGGCTACCAATGAAGCTGTTAATTATATCTTGACAAAAGGATGATAGACTCTCTGCCATTTGTCCATGCCCGCAATGATGGACATATGACTGTTCAGGAAGAACAATAATATAATAATAATATAGGGAAACTCAGGGGGAGGGGACTTGGGGTGTGGGTAAGGGAAATCCCATGGCCTATGGAACTGTATAATAAAATAATAATAGCAATAATAAATAAATTAAAAAGGAATGCCACAATCAGTTGTGACTTATTACTGAATGATGAATTAGAGTGGCAGAAAAATACACTTCAGAAAAACAGCAGTTAAAGAAAAATTACAAAACACTAACACCATAGTAAAATCAGGGGGATGTAAAACTTCTGATGAGTGACTTTCCACCTTTTGTGTGTGTGTTGTTGCCACTTGTCTTGTTTTCCAAGAGCTATCCACTTGTGACAGTGACAGCCAGATATACCCCAAAGGCTACCTGCTGAAAGGAATTGCTCATTTCTACACACTTCTTTAGTTTTATTTCATTTTCATTTCTGATTTTGAGCTAAAAAGGATGGTTTTAATAAAATAAATGAAAACCACACTATGCTCTACATAGAATGGAGAATTTTTATATTAGAGATGTCACCATGGTTCTTCATTAACACAAAGGCCATTGCCTGGGAATTTATGATTTGTTGGCATGAGCACCAAGTTCTGAGAGCAGTGCTGTTTCTTTGCCATAGCAACACTAACCCAGGCTGACCTCCATTATTAATGATACCACAAATGAGAGGTTTGAATTCATCATCCTTACCAGTCAACTTTGTCAAAATTAATTTGAGCCAGAGCTAATTTAAATTTAAAATGATCTAACTACATTTGGCACACAAGATCCCTACTTACAACTGAATTCTTAACCTCCCTAGTGAGAATATAGTTATAGAGGAAGACTGTCAATTTATTAATCTGTTTAATAATGGATACAGAATTTAAATTATTTACTGAATATTTATTTACCCTGATTTTCCTAGGGTTCCAAGTGAAGGAATTTAGGTAGCTATAAAAATGGCATTTAATATGTTTATCTAAAATGTTTTGGCAAAGAAAAGGTTAAGATAACTAAAAAAAATAGCTATCTGCTTAGTTAAAAGATTAATATCTCAGAAAAAGAAAAATGTTCAAAGCAGCATGTCCATGACCCATGGTTTTGCCTTTCACTCCAACCCAGCAAGAGCAGAACTTCCAGCTGTAAAGTTTTTAGTTATACTCTCAGGGTACATCATCCCCACATTGCCTTTTTCCTTTTTGGTGATCAATCACGACTTCTCAGATTGGTCTGAATTACTCTCCTGGGGCCTCCGTGGGCCATTTGCATTAGTGAACCTCTTGTGCACTCTGTCTCCTGGTATCTGTAGCAGACCGGAAGATGTTCAGCACCTCTTCCATGAGTTGTCAGAGGAGAGGATCCAGGATACACACAGCATCTCTTGAAAATGCAGAATCAGTACACCAGCTGTATCCTCTTCCCAGATGCCCTGGAGCTATCTCAAGATCAATAGGTCAAACCATGATACAAAGACACCACTGTAGCCTTAAAGAAGAACCTGAACCAGGCCTGTTATCATGCTCTGATTTCTGTTTGTTCAACCCCCATGTCTATGCCTTCCTGGAGAGCCATTCCACAAATGAAAGAACAAAACTCATCAAGAAGATGATAACTAACTGACTGGCCTCTGAACTAGTAGCCCCCAAGAGCAGCTGGATAAGTGCCTTTTGGGAAGGTTCACCCTATAGCCTGATTAGGGATTGACAGAACCCAGTGTGTTTTAGTGGGTGTTGAATGGCAGCTCTGAACTTTCAGGTATCAATTTTCTGCCCGAGTTGCTCACTCCAGCTACTTGACAGCTTTTAAAACTATCCTGGATCCTTCTCCCAAAACTTGCAATGGAAATAAAGGTATTTGCAGCAGCAGGGAAACATGGATAAAAAAATTATGGAAACATTCTTACCTGTAGGAGCTATGCTGTTGGTAGATTCTGTAACACTGAATGTGACACTGTAATTCTGTAACACTGATTCTGCTGGGGAAGTTGTAGACTCTAAAAGGAAAGCACATTTATAGTGAACAAAAAACTAAAAGAAGGATATTGAATTAGTTCCTTACTTTGACTTATACATCATCAAATACCAGTTATGGGCAAGGCAGTGGAATAGGATGGTGAATGAGACAGACATGGGCTCTCTGTAAAGACATAGATCTGAGTGTGACCACATTGTGAGCTACTAATTATGGTACCAACCCTTCAACATATATTGCTTTTTAATATGTCTTCATAAATAATAAAATATGCTTGGTAGTTTAAATTTAATCAGCTGCTCAGATCTTAAAATATGAAGGGGTTTCCTATAAAATTATGTGATAGACAAAAATATTTGAAAATAAGAGGATGGTCACTATGATTTGTTAAGGAGTTTCCTTTTGAACTCATGCAGATATCAAAGTTTAAGCCATAAGTAGTGAGTCAATGGCACTAACAGGGTGTAAGTTAAGCCAGTTATATCTAGAAGGTGCACCAACTGAGAAGTTTTAAGATCAGTAGGGATGTGCCTTCAGAATAGTTTTCATGAGGGTCAGTTACGAGTTGAACTCACTGCTCTGTTCTTTCTTCCTGGCTTCCCTTAAAATATTTGGGCATTGCACCATCCTTCACCAGACATGGATGTTTGATCTCAGGCTATGAATCTCCAAAATCAAGAGCTCAAGCTTTCCCTCAGTTTTGCAATGATAGCTTGTAATAGGTATTTTGTTATAGTAATCAAAATCTAACACAACAGTGGTCTGAGAGGTTGATTGGCCTGTGAAGCTGTAATACTGCCTTGCAAATCTATTGAGACTTTATAAGATTACTATACAACTATTAAATATGCAATATAGATGTCTTTTTGTGAGTATATATGCAGTCACTGTGTTTGTTGAAAGACTTCTTCTGATATTGTTAGTAAATCTCCATTATTTGATCTGGTTGTAGACAATCACTGCTGTGATTAGTCAAATGTTTTAATAACCAGATTGATCCTGTGTATCAATTTTTAATTCATAAAAATCTATGTGCCAGATATAGTGATTCAAGCTAGGAGTACTGATATTATTAAGATATAGTCCCTATAATTATGATACTTATATTGCATACATAATTTAGCCACTTAAAAAAGAATTATTTGAAAGGCAGAGTGACACAAAGAGAAAGTTAGAAAGCTTTCGATTCTGGTTCATTCTCCAAAAGGCTGCAGTAACTGAGGCTGGGTCAGGTTAAAGCCCAGAGGCCAGAACTCCATCCATGTTTCTCTTGTGGTTGGTATTTTACACTGCTTTTTCAGGCACATTATCAGGGAGTTGTACAGGAAATGGATTGGCAAGGAATTGAGTTGGCACTCTGTTATAGAATGCTGGCACTGGAAAAAACTGGCTTAATTCAATTTGGTACAGTGCTTGCTCTTATCCATTTTTTTAAAAAAGGATTTATTTATTTTTATTGGAAAGGAAAATTAACAGACAGAATGAGAGACAAAGATCTTCCATCCACTGGTTCACTCCCCAAGTGGCCACAATAGCCAGAGCTCCGCTGACTCAAGGCCAGAAGACAGGAGTTTCTTCTGCATCTCCCATATGGATGCAGAGTCCCAAGGCTTTGGGTCATCCTCTACTAGTTTCCCAGGCCACAAAAAAGTAGTTGGAAGGAAAGTGGAGCATCCAGGACATGAACTGGTACCCATATGGGAACCCAACTCATGCAAAGTAAGAATTTTAGTCACTAGGTTGCCACGCTGAGCTCTCTCAACCATTTTTAAGTATTACAATGATGCATTCTCTATATAATTTAACATTTTTAATGAATCCAAAGAAATTTTAAGTTAATTTTAATCTCTTGATTATCAGCGTTAAGTGCCATTATGTGATAGATGAGCAAAACCATTAGTTAATTACGAGTTATGGAGGAAGCATTTGGTGCAGTGACTGTCACACCATTTAGGATGCTTACATCTCATCTCAGATACCCTTGGCCAAGTAGTGGCTCTGCTTCCAATTCGAGTCTCTTGTTAACGTGTATCCATGGGAGGCAGCAGATGATGGGTTAACAACAAGGATCACTCCTGTGGGAGACTCTGATGGATTCCTGGCTACTGGCTTCAGCCTACTCCAACTCTAGTTATTGTAAGCACTTGTGGGAGTGAAGTATTGTATGAAAGATGTTGTTCTCTTTGTTTCTGTCTGTCTTTCAAATATCTAAGATGAAAACTCAATGGAACTTGAAAAACTTTGTTCAACAGAAATTCTCTGTGGAAACAGGAATCATCTGCTTTTTATTGAAGAAATCGTCTTCAGTAGAGTCATAATTTGTCAAAAGTATCTTATCTTTTGAGGTTTACAAATTTTGGGTTAAGTACAGAATTTTGTAAATTAAAACACTGTAGCAGTAATGGGTGCTTTCTAAGATGTGTTTTAAATGTATGACAAGTTTCACAAAACTTTGTTGACATTTTTAAGTAGAGAACTCACCCCAGGAAAAAGTAATCTTTTCTGAAGAGAGGTTGTATACACTATTGCCACGGGCTGAAGACAGAGCTTCACACCAAATGGTCAGGTTGTTGGACTGGGTTGATTGGTTACCATGCATAATTTTTAAAATAGACGTTAGTTCTAAAAGTTTATCTTTGCCTTTTCTCTCTTCATTAGTGATGTATATTCCTACAAGACAGAGAAGAACATGAGTAGTCATCAACATTTATGGTCAAACTATGAAACATACTGATTAATCATGCTACTTTGTACAAAAGGTTTTGGTGCAGATTGTCTCATTTCCTCAGCTTTGTTTATTGATAAGAGTGAAGAGTGACAATTCACACCATGTCTGAGTTCGACTCTGGGAAGTCTCTTCTGGGGACGGTGGTTAAGTATGTCCCTAAATGACACAAAATATTAAACAACCTTGATCAATGTACATTTGGGGCTTCCTACCTGGGAGCCTCCCTGTGCACATACTGGTGGTTCCTAATCTGAAAGACAACAGACCTCAGACAACGTGGACCTCACAGAGGGAGGACAACGGCGTCTCATTTGACTTCTCAGGACTCCTGGCCATAAGTGTAATATAGAAAATGTTATTTTATTTATGCTGCTACATTGTATCTTCTCCTGGAATTAGCAATAGATTTGTAAACATTGTCATGGAGGTTTTGTGACTTTTTAGACATCAGATCCTGTCTAATTGTCATTGTTAGTAAAATCTACAAATCACATATGTGACATCAGGTAATTAATGTAAATCCTTCTACCAGCATAAGCCAGAACCTTCTGAATTCTATAAGTTTCTTCACATTAAGGGCCATTTTGGCTGGCATTATGGCTCAGCAGGTTAGCCTACTGCCTGTGAAGCCGGCATCCCATATGAAAGCTGAATGAGTAATTGTTGCTCCACTTCCAATCCAGCTCTCTGCTGTTGCTCTTGGGAATGCTGCAAAAGACGGTTCGGGCATTTGTACCCTGTTTTCCATACTGGAGAACTGCATGGTGTTCCAGGTTACTGGCTTGAGCCTGGCGAGCTCTAACTGCTGTGGCCTTTTGGGGAGTGAACTTGTACGTGAAAATTTCTCCCTCTCTCTTTAATTCTTTCAAATAAGTAAATCTTAAAAAAAAAACCCTCAAGGCTTTTTTTTTTTTGCATTTCTGTTTTGCCAATGTATTATCCATAGTTATGTTCTAGTGGAATTTTGAACTCCGTGTCTGACTTATTGGTTGGGAGTGCAAAGGGGACATTCAATTTGGGTGCCTCAGCCCAACACTGTTCATTTGTCTAGAGAATACATTTGTAACCCATTTAACAGAGAGTTTAGACCTGGAGTGTGTCACTGTTGTAGGAAAATGTTTTTTATTTTTTAAGTGAACTAGTAATAAGGCCAATAAACAAAACCATCAGGTGATTATTGCAATTATTCTTCAATACAAGCTTTTAATTATAACAATTAAAAATAGTCTTGCAGCAAGAACTGTCTAACTCAGTCATTGTTGGAAATGAACTGACTCAGGAGAAAGGCTGTTGTTCTGGCAGGTGATCACTGTAATTTTCCTGTAGAAGCTGTCATGGTTACCACCTGTGAAAAACATGGCTTTGTGAGTTATCAGCTGAGCGGTGTGCTTTGATTCTCCCAGTGAGTATGTCCTATGTTATAGAGCCAAGTTATTCACAACCACTTCCCCTAGGGCGCCTCTCAACACTTGTCCCCCAATTTTTTTTTTAACCAAAAAGATAGAAATCCCTTAAAGACTGATTTAAAGCAGAGATGCTAAGTTAACTGATCACATTACAGTGAAATAAGACAGCAATGAGAATAGTTACATTCCAAAATCCTGGATATTAGTAATTGTATATTGAATTAAACATTTTTACTTTCATTTATAATATCTATCTAAGTCTTAAAAAATTTTGTTTGAGAGTCAGAGAGAATGACAGGAAGAGATTGCCCACTCAATGATTCATTTCTTAAGTTTCCAGGATAACCTAAGAGTAGGGAAGAAGCAGCAGGTGGAAGGAACTCAGTTATCTGAGTTCTTGCCAACTGTCTCTCAGGGTCTGCATTAGCAGGAACTAGAAAGAGAATCCAAGCTAGAACTGGAGCCAGACATCAAACTCACATTACCCAGGTGCATAGCTATGATCATCTTAACCATTAACCCACTCCAGGATACCTGCTTTCACAAGCAACAAAATGAAACTGTGTGGTTTCATGAAGTCAACTTTATTCTCTCATTCTGAGAATTGTTATCCTTCACTCCCTTGCAGGAGCCAGATGAAGTATTAGAAAATGGCATCTGGTGGGTAAGATGATATTTTTCTTGGAATGAGAAGTGTTCTTAGCTGCAAAGATCAATCTGGAAGATGATAATTGCCCAAGTTCTTTCTTTGTTAAACCAGTTTCCATTGATTTGTTTTCTTACCTTCTTTTTCAGCTTCCAGAGATCTTCCATCTATAAACCATGTGAGATTTGCTTTGGGAAATACATTCTTTAACAAGCACGTAAATGTTCTCTGAAGTAAATCGGATAGAGAAAGAATTATTTGAAAATCCAAAAGAAATTAATATTTTTCTATCTCATCACTATTCAGAAGAAAAATTGACAAAAATTAATTTATCCACTTGAGAGTATAATGCACATCTTTATTGAAAGACAGACGCACAGAAGGCAGAGAAATGAAGGAAAGAAGGAACAGATGGGGAGGGTAGGAGAGGGCAAAGGCAAGGGAGGGAGGGGGAGAGAGAGAGAAAGGGGGAGAGAGAGAGAGAGAGAGAGAGCTGCCTTCTGATTGGCTTCTGAAATGCCCATGATAATAGCTGCTGAGCCAGGCTAAATGTAGGAGATGTGAATTCAATCTGGGTCTCTCCAAAGGTATTTATTTGTAGACATGAAGCTGAAATTGGAAGCAGAGCCTCAACTCAAAGTCTAGCGCTGTGATTTGGGATGCAAGGATTTCAAATGCTGCCTTGACCTCTGTGCCAAGCTCCCTGTCAAACAGGATATCTTCAAGGTTTACCTTCAAGAGAGGTTATGTTCACATGTGGATTATAAATGTGTTATCTGCTCTAGAGATGCTGAGAGTGTATTGCTAGAATCCTACATTAATAATTTAGGACTATCTTGGTACTAAAATGTAGATCCTCAGCTATAGAAAAGGAAAATTATAAGTCCTTATAGTTTGAATAAAAGAGTACTGTGAAAACAAAAGAAAAAAATAGAAAGAAGGAATCAAAGAGGGTGGAGTTCAGAGGAGAATACTTGTTTAGATTAAATGCTGAAAGAAACCCACACATGAGTTCTTTCTCAAATGATGCTAAATACTACTTGTAAAAAGAACCATGGAAACTACTTAGTATAAATAACCCACTCCAGTTATTAAACTTTTATCATCTTGTTCCTATAGAAAAGATACAACATGACATCTTGCTATGCCTTATTATTGTTTCTTGACAACTAGAAAATTCTAGGTAGCAAAAGAAATGAAAAATAGTTAATGACACAATTAGGAACTATGTCCCCCTCAATCCTAGTCCAAGATATTTTCTGATAAAAACATATTGTTCTGAAATAAAAAGGAAATGGAAGAACAGGTATAAGCACTGAGATATTTATAGAGTTGGTTATTATTTTGTTTTTAAATCAGGACACCAAACAACCACCCCACAGTTATATTTTATTTCTATGTATGTATTATATATTGAAGTGCAGGTGTCCTTGAGGCCTGTGATTTCCTTTTTGTATTTCAGTCTCTCGCTCTCTAAATATCTTTGTTTAAGAGGACAGCTAATCTAGTCATGGGGCTTGACTGATTTTTTGGTTGCATGGCATTTGCAAGGAATACTTTTTTGACTATGGAAGGGATGAGGGAATGATTTATATTGTGTCTAAATATTGCAGAAAAACCCAACAGAGGCACATCCACTTGGAGAGGAACTCTTCTGGAAGTAAGAGGAAATAGGGATTGGAGGCACCCTGTCCTGGAGTTAGAAGCCAGTGAAGAGCCTTCGAGGATGTGCTGCAGCTCATTCAGGCTGCAGCAGAAGGATCGAAGACAAGTTCAGAGGTTTGCTTGCCTGCAAATACTCATTTGTGGCTAGGGGATAATTTTCTAACTGGGGTTGCAAAGCCTGATGGATAAAGTTTGCATTGACTGAATAACTGATGTTAGAAGGAGGGAAAATTGGCTTTTTTTTTTTAATATGCAGGGTAATTGTCCATTTGCATGTTTATTTTCAAAATGGAACAAATAAGCCACAAATCGGTCCTTAAACGGTTTCAGCAAGATTGCCTTGGTTCTTGGCTTTACAGGTGGTTGTGCCTGGAAGGTGGTGAAGGGTGAGCTGTCTGCTGAGCACAAAGCAGCAACACCAGGCCTGCTGCTAGGATTTCTTAGAAGGCCAGCTTTAAAGGGACCACTCTGCATATAAAGTGACCTCCCTTTGACTACCGAGCTCCTGGCAGCTTTTATAGCATCTGGACTGATCTTGGGAAGCAAGATTGTTTCCTGCATGAGCATCTCTGTACTCGCTTTTCATTAATCTCAGGAAGACCTACTGAGGCCCAGCCTGAAAGCCTGAACCCCGAGACTGTTTCTCCTTTCTCCAAATCAAGGCACACAGAAAGAACAGGATCAGTAGGAACAGAGCTGCGAGAGCCTCTAAAATGTTCAGTATTCAAAAAGGCATGTTTTGCTGACTGATGTCAGGGGCATTGAGTTCACCAAGGAGCTTTGCAATTGCTCAACACAGAAGATTGTTGCTACAGAAACCGCGTGTGGTTTTCTTTCTGGCTTTGTCAGAACAGGATCAATATGTAGCTGGAGCATGCCCCAAAACAAGGGGACCAGGTTTTCTGAAACACAGGAGTAGTTCCACCTGGCCCCTGCTCAAACTTGGCAGTATACTAACTGATATGCTACCTGTCATCTGTGTAGCAGGCAGGTGAGCCGTGGTCCTTGAGTCAATGTGGGCACCATGACCTTTGTGGAAGCACGGAGGGAAAAGGAGGTGCTTGGGAGAGAGAGGGCAGCTGCAAGGTGGGAAAGAGCAGAGGAGAGGAGGGAGTGAACTCTGGATGAGGCAGAAAGGGCCATCCTGGAGATGAAGTGGAAGGTGAGGGCTGGGAATGAGGCATAACACAAGGACAAAAACATACAAAGCTTGTTCTATGGGACTGCACTGGAAAGACACAGAAGCTTGGGACAGAGAGACTTAGATGCCTTTCCACATGCATTGGTTGCTCCTAGTGCTGCAGTATTGTATCATATGCTTAGATGAAAATTATTTCATCAGTGGAACCAGCCAGAGTTCTGTGAATTTGCTCACTTAATAAAGGCCATGTGAAAGCAAAGGGAAAGTTAAAGATTTAAATTCTTTTGGTTTAATCTTCAAGAAATGGAACTATTAGTGGTCATTTAAATTAATTGTTAGGATGCTGGTTAAGGTATACCTAGCCTATGTCAGAGAACCTGGGTCCTCTTCCCAGCTCTTCTGACTCGGGCTTGCTGCTGATGCAGACTGAGTGGGGCAGCAGTAATGGCTCAGGTGCTTGAGTTCCTATCACTACACGGAAAACCTGGATTGCATTCCTAGCTTGGAGCTTTGATCATTGCCCGACCGCAGCATTTGTAGGACAGCGAATCGCCAGACAGAAGCTCTGCCTTTCTGTCTCACTGCCTCTTTGCTGCCTTAATTAAAAAATAAATAAATAATACAAAAAACCTTAAAAATAGTCTACGTTCATATGGGGATCTGACTTGGGATAAGCGAGTTTGTGCGAAAGCGATGCATAAAGTCCAGCCAAAGTAAAGTAAAGAGATGAGGGTGAGTTAGGGAAGACTAGAGATGAGGAAGTAAAAAGGAGAGAAAAAGAAAGAGATCTGTGAAGATGGGGAAGAGAGACCGTGCCTTGGGAGGGAGGAGATCATAACTGTCTGTGTGAGTGAAGACCAAAGATGATTTCTTAGAGCTGGAGGTCAGCTTTAAATGACTGAAGTTGGATTTGTTTTGTAGCCTCCAACGAGCAGTAGGCTACAGATTTTACTTCTGCCTCGAAATGCTAACTGCAGGAAATTAATTGTTTTCTGACTCTTTTTTTTTAAACTATCCATCTTATCATGTTCAGGTATGCTTTTAAGAATGAGAGTCTAATAGTCCATAGGGAGAGGAAATTTTTCAAGACGTCTGAGGTTATTTTAAAATGTCAAAGAATGGAGCAAAATCTAACTGAAAGTATCTCTGGCCTATGTATGCACTGGCACTGACTTATATTCTGGGATATTGCTCTAGAATCTTTGGCTTTGTTTTTAGCTGAATTGAGAGTGGGTATGTGAGAGGGCGAGGAGGAGATAAAAACAGCCTCCCATATCTTAAGGATTACCCCTGCACCGTATGCGTGCCTGCCTCCCTGCAAGTTGACCCCATCCTGATGTAATAATGGCATCCGGTTTCTTTACTCCTCACCTCTGTGGTTCAGTGTCACTGTTTCTTAGTCACGCCAGGCAGTGCTCCCCGTCAGACTGCTCTCCTCTATAGGCGCTTATGAAACGACATTTGAGAAACCTCAAGCTATGCTGCTGTGCCGCGTGTTCTCTTAGAAATCTGCTGGCTATTGATGTTTTTATTCCCCTTGTTTCTCCCTGCAGGGATATGCTAGCTTTTAGATGCCTCTCCATTTGTAGTGAAAACAGAGGTGCTCACCAGCATAAGTGGTGATGGCTTGCTTGGGGGTCACAGAGTTACAACTTTGGAGTCAGGCCTTCTTGTGACACAAAAGATGCTTTTACAAAGAAGGATGTTATATTTAATACAAAATAAAACTAAACTAAACAAAAACTCACAAAAATGCACATATTTGAAAGGGGGCTGAAGAAAGTCAGGGAATCCACAAGAGTTCAAACTTTGCAAAATCAGAATCAAAGAAATTCAAGTAACTTAACTCTGCAAAAAGTTACCAGAACTTTGCTGTCAGCCTCCGATGCTAACCACACTGTGGTTTTTAGATTAAGGTGTCTGTTAAATGGTTATTATTATACTCTCTTCCTCCTCAGGTATCTTAACCTCAAACCAATTTGTCTACCATGTTTCATTTTAGGTAGTTGTCTTTCGTTTTTATTTCTGTCGTCGTCGTTGTTGATGTTCTAAATTTTGGCAAACATAATAAAAACAGAGTGACAAGGATATTCAAGAAGATTATTAGGGTATAGCATAAAGCACATGCGTGAAATAGAGATGCTTGTGTAAAGGCTGAACTGTTGAATCCACTTTGAAGTTTTTTTTTTTCTCCATGCCTTTGTTATATTATTAGATGTGAACGAGATGCGCTTTGGGCCATCATTTGCTCTAAAACAATAGTCTCATTTGGGGAGAATGTTTAGGTCATTGTCCAGCCCTCGCCTGAATGTTTAGGTCAAAGACTCCCTACCCATCTTAGCTGCAGGAATGAAACTATGTACTGTGGTGGAGTCTTGGTGAAGTCTTGCCCTGACAAATGCACATAAACATGACATGTGCATGTGTGACACTCTCTTTCGGTGTCTTTGGATGTCTCTGGCATGTGAAGTTTGAGAGGCATCATTATTAGAACAAACTCTTTTCCAGAAAATCTAAGTCAGTCATATAAAAAAGCCAGATTAGTCATATACTTTGTAAGTTTAAGAGGCCAGAAAGACAGAGCTTGAAATTGACCATGTTCTCAGACCAGTGAAGGCTGCCAGTGATGCAAGTAAGTAGCGGAAAGGAAGGAAGGGAGGTCCAGGGATGGACCTGTGCGGTTGCCAGGTAGAAGGTACCATGATGCATTTTCTTATTTTATCCTCACATAACTCTGGTGTGGCTGAAATCCCTGACCCCACTCACAGTGAGAAAGATTAGGAACTGAAGTCTCAGGTGCCTGTGAGAATTCAAATCTAGTTCTATCAGAACCCATATTCTGCTCTGGTGTTTTCATTATCACATACTGGCTCCAGAATCAGTGACACAGTAGATTCATGAATGTGTGTATAAAGGAAGCAAGGGATGAAATAGTGTGGGTGAATGACAAATAGAGGAAAGAAAGAAATATCCTTAAGATGTCTAACTGTGTGTCAGAGGCTCCAGTACGATGAATAAATTTAATTCTGAAAGCCCTGTGATATATTTATTTCCATCCCAGTTTTAGAGATGAATTAGCTGGGGCTGGTGGAAGTCAGCTACTTGATGATGATTAGCAAATGGTCAAATTAGGACTTGCCGCTGCTGCTCTCTGATCCCAAAGCAGGGCTTCCGTCTGCCATACCCTCCTGCCTGGTTAGTAGCCACGCAAATTATCAGAGATCCTCCAGGCTGAATTTCCTCATCTGTAAGTGACAGATGCTGCACCTATTTCCAAGGCTCATTGCAAATGCCACAAGATAAAACTCTGTGCAAGAGCTTTGAAGAGTCAGTAAATTATTAAACATAGAAAGGATTACAGGATGTTAAAGTGAAGAGTTATTAACATTTGGCAACATCTTAAAAAACTCAAAGTCAAGTTGTGTCCTGTAGCTGATAGTGCACATCAGGAAGGAGGCTGTTTACTAATCCCCTCGAAGGAAAGTTCTCTGATTTTCCTAGATGGTACTTATGCAGGCACAGGTAGGAAAAAAGAAATTTTATGGCACTTCAAGCAAAATACTTTTAAAAATGGGAGTTCTTGGGTCCCATGTATATTTCTACATATGGATCAAGCCTATTTTACCTTCAAACATTGGCACCAAGAATCTATAAGAATCTGTAGGTAATCCTTTTTAGAAACAATAGCATTGGTCAGAAGTTGCATCATCAGATTTTTTTTTTTTTTAGTTTAAACTATTAAACCAAGTAATAAATTTGGAATCCCAATTTATGAGAAAAATATTAAAATTTTTTTGCATACTCATAATAAAAGCAATAGTTACTTAAGAGACTGATAAATGAAATCAGTGAGACAGAAATATTTGGGCAACAAATATACACTGGAATAAAAAAAAAATCATCCCACAGATCTGAGCTATGATTTGTATGCATCTATTGTATTATGTGGCTGATATTCAGCGGGGCCAGAAATTATAGTTTGCTTTATGCTCTTGAGGTGAAAAGAAACTAAAATAAAATCACCTCTTACCGCATGTAACAAGATATATTTATTAGTTAATGAGGATATTTATGTGAGATTCTGAAACAGTTGGGTAAAGTCATAAGCCTCTTAGACAGCTGATTAAAACATATAATAGTAATAACAAAAGCAGCAACAGTAATGTTTATTGGATACTTAATATATGCCTCACACTCTACTAAGAACTTTAGTACTTCCATTTAAGCAATAATAATATGCAACTACAACTACCCCCTTCACATAGACAAACTGCTGCAATGATGTGAAGTAATTTTCCCAAGTTCAAGCCAGAAATTGAGAGCGGATCTTAATCCTGGTGACCACCTATAAGAAGCTAAAGAAGACTATTTTTTTCTCATTCTTCTCCCGCTTTTTCTTCCACTGACAAAAAATAGCCAGTGTGCTCCAGGAACACAAGAGGGCACCTTTCCTCTTGTCACTTTGAAGCAAAAACAATGGGAGACCAGATGGGAGAAATGGATTTGAGCACATTAAACTTCAGCCAACCTAAAGCTTCAGTCCTGCACCAGAACTCACACTGCTTCCTGCCCTACTTTCTCTTACCACTCATCTCAAATTTTTATTAAAGATGAGTTTAAATAATTGGAACTTTTTTTTTTTTTTTGCAGGGATTTAGGGACTACGGCTGCAGCACTCAAATTCTGAGAGTATACATCTGAAAGTAAGGATTCCTATCGGGTTTCCACAAGCAACTCAGCTTTCTTTTTTTCCTATAATCAATTCATTGGCTGAGGACCAGGGATTAAGGCTCTTTAAGGGAATAATCTTGGTACTAGGCAGCAACACAGCTTGTATTGTAGACTCTTAAAGGATTTATAGCAACTCACCTCTCCCCAAAAGCTCAAGGAGTTGTTTTCCATGATCACAGGCTTTTCTGGCTTAGCTTAAAGGCAAATAGAACAGTTAACAGCACTGAACACCATCCTACTTGGCTATTAACAAGCGTGAGTGTACTCAGGTGCATGTGTGTAAAAAATGTGTCATTCATTTAATGTTTGCCATTAAATACTAGACATATACGAAATAAAGGTAGGCAAATCATATTCACTGTCTTGAAGAAATTTTCTGTGTCATTGAAAGTAAACAACTAGAAGTTATAATACACTCAACGACACACAACCTCAAGGATTAAGGAGGTTTTTGGAAAAATGTGATGTGTACGTGCTGCCTGAGTGATGATCTGTGCTGAGCCAAGTGATATTGGGGTTGTGAAAGTGTGGAGGGGGAGGTGGTAGGGAGACAGTAAATGTGTTGTGCATGCCCATTGGCCTTATAAACATGCCACTATGTTCAGACCCCGAAGGGGACCGGAAAAATAGTTGCTACTCATTTGATTGTTTAGCAGTAGAAATATCAGGGGCTATTTTCCTGCTAGACTGTAAGTGCCACAAAGCCAGAGTATGGGGTCCTTCCCGTTACATTTCCAGCAGTGTCCTGAACAAAGCAGACATTATGTTCACTGAAGCAAATTAGCTTCATCACAATCTTCAATTTTTCTCTATGCTGTTAATATAAAGAGAACAGATTCTATGTATTTAAGTTACAGTTCTAAGATATATCTCACTCTTCCAAATGCCCCCCCTTTCCTCTTTTTATTTAATTAATTTTCACATGCATAATTTTAAACCCACTCTTTAATCACAGTCTTAATTTATCACTAACCATAATCTTTAACAAATAAAAAGTATGAATATCATATTTCCACGGGAGTATAAACAATGGGGCTGGTGACATGGCGCCAAAGGTTGGGACCCGTATGTGCTTCAGTTGGTGCCCGGGCAGCTATACTTCCCTTCCAGCTCTCTATTTATGGCATAGGAAGGCTTTAGGATGGCCCAAGAGCTTTGGGATCTTGCACCTATATAGGGGACCCATAAGAGAATCCTGGCTCCTGGCTTTGGATCACCTCAGATTTCTCCATTGTGACCATTTGGGGAATGAACCAACAGATGGATGACATTTCCCTCTCTGTCTTTCCTTTTCTCTGTAAATCTGCCTTTTATTTAAAAATAAATCTTTGAAAAAGAGTCTAAAAAAGGGCTACCACCAACAACCATATCAGCAGATATCTGTTTCCGTAAGACTTCCTGTCCTGAGGCAGGTGTTGTGGCATGGGGGTTTGTAATAATGGCTTCCTTTGCCAGATTGCGGGTTTCAATCCCCATTATGCTCCTTGTGACCCAGCATCCTTGTTAAGATTTTTGTGTTCTTCACATCGCAAAACAACTAGATGAAAAATCTTTGTCTCTCCCTTTCTGTTGCTCTGCCATTTAAACAAACGACCAGCCAGTAGACCATCTTTGAAAGAGGACTATCTGTCCCATGTGCTGCCATTTGCTATTGCATCCTCTTGGTCTCTACCTCTATACATAGATGGATTACTGTTTTACTGGAATGGGAGCACACAGTGCAAAAGCAGGAAAAAATTGGAAGTCCCATGGAGTTAGTGGTGATGACAGAGGGTACTTGGTGGATGAACACTAGGCTTCGTGCTTTTCGTTTGAATGATTTTGACCAGTATGTGTTCTTTTCCAGTTAAGACTGAGTTCTGTGCCCACACAGTGGTAACTGATAAGTTTTTTCTTTGATTCACTGTCCCACTGCTTTCCTCAAGTTTAATCGGAGGGCCACTCAAATAAACCAATTTACTCAAATTTGTACATCTCTCTTTTATTTCATGGGAATTCAAACTAAGATGCAATCCTGACATACTAAAGGAATGAGGCATATTTTGAGCTCTGCTTAACATACACTGGTAGAAAGAAGGACATCAGAGAGGAAACAATCATGAGAAGTCCCAGGGGTGAGAGAGAGACAGATTTTCAGTGTGGCTCAGGACAAATCCAGATTAGAGTTTCTGAGTGGGAGAACAAAATTTGGATGAATAAGTGTCTCTCTTCCACAGACTAAAAGTAAAAGGAGACCAGAGAAGGACAAGCAAGATGTAGCCATGAAGTGTGTGTAACCTCTGTTGGAGGATGAAGATCTGGGCAAACAGGCAATTTGGGTACGAGAAACTGTTGTGAGGCTGGTACAATTATTCAATTGACTAATTCTCTGCCTGTAAGTGCTGGCATCCCATATTGGATATCAGTTCATGTCCCTGCTGCTCCATTTCCCATCCATCTCCCTGCTTGTGGCCTGGGACAGCAAAGGAGGACCGATCAAGAGCTTTGGGATCCTGCAACTGTATGGGAGACATGGAGAAAATTCCTGGCCCTTGGCTTCTGATTGGTTCATCTCTGGCCACCTCAGTCATTTGGGAGTGAAGCAGTGGATAGAAGGTCATTCTCTCTCTGTTTCTCCTTCTCTCTATAGATCTTTCTTTTCAATTAAAAAAAATCTTTTAAAACTGCTTTAGAGCTTGTAGAATGGAGCTGTAGTACATCTGGGTATTTATTATAAGGCTTTCATGTTTTGTTCTTTGCTACTCCTGTTTGCAGAACAACAACAGTATGCAAAGTGAATACTTGTAGATTATGGATTTTATCTTGTGTCAGGGTCACTGTAAAATATGTCTGGGGCAACACCTAAAAATAGACTAAAGACCGAATGAGACCAACCAAGCACAACCCACTCCATTTATGAATTGGGAAATCCAAGAGGCAGGGAAAATATAATTCAATGAATAATGAGGCAGATACTCTTATTTTTAAGCATCTATTGGCAGATTTCAAAGCAGAAGCAAGAGAGATATAGAGACAGGATGGAGTAGAATCAGATATGGTGATAAGAGTGAAAAGTAAATGAGTAAAAAACATCCAAGAGCAAGATGAAGATGTTCTAATTCAGCAAAGAAACCCAGTACACTGTTTCAATGTTGACAAGGCAATTAGATCATATTAAAGCACAAGCAAAGCTGGTTAAACTGAGACACAACTTGCCTAATGTAAAAGTGATATTTCTTTCCACATTCTGGATGGCTATCTCTGTTGATCTATCAAGGATCAGAAGAGGCAGTTTCATGTTTATGCTAAGACAGTCACACCCTGCTCAATGAGCAAAGGGTAGAGGAGATGAAATCTACGTCCAAATATTCCATATGACAGAATTGAAACTCAGTAATGAACTTGTTGTGTGTGTTGGGTGTTATTAAAACCCAGTCCATCCCTGAGGAGACAGGGAGGTGGGTGGAGGGGAAGAAGGAGAGAGATATTAAGTGCCACGAGTCCAGCCCAGGGAGATTGGCAGGGAAAAGCTGTGAGCGTGAGACTTTGATCTTGGTCAACTTTGGTTGTAGCTGTTGAGATAGATGCTTAGAACAGAGAAAAGATGGGGTGTGAACAAATGAATTTATTAAAGAGGATTAACTTCATCAGGGTCAAGCAACTGCTGGTGTGCAGATAGAGAAGATATATGGCAGTGACGAGTTCCTCCAGTCTACTGAGTCTCATGTACGTTAGAGCATTGAGGGCTTTGGATTAGTGGAGTAAAAGGTGAGGTAGCTTTTCCAAGGCTTTCAAACTAAGTGTGGCTTCCTCTGTTGGTTGGGTGGGGGAGCAGGGAAGAGGGGATGGAGGGCTAGGTAACTGGAAAGGAATGAAGAGTATTATGTAGGGAGCAGTGCAAGGCAAAGGTTAGACTGGTCTTTGGAAATGCAGGGCTAGGATCTCTGTGGAAATTGGGTCTGCTAACAGTCTGGGAGCTGTAATAGCTAGGAACTCAAATGGCTCTTTACAAACAACTTGGTGATTTCTTCAGTTTTTGACCTCTCATAACGATGTGGTAAGATTCTAAATAAAAACATATTTTTGTCTGTTCTGCTATTCAGAGAACTGAGGAACAATCTAGATGTTTGTACCCTCAGGTTTTATGAAGCAATTTTCTTTTTGTATGTCTCATTTGCAGATACAACTTATTGCTCATATATCACTGCTTTTAAAATTTGCCCTTCTTGAAGCATAACCCTGTTATAAATGCTGGTCTTGGTTACACACCGCTCCTCACCCCCCACATCCTAGCCATAGCTGGAGGTCTGTTCATTGATATTTCCTTGTACTGAGGCAAAATAGAATGTCTATATTTCCACCCTGAATTTGCATACTGCAGAGGCTCTGCAGTTTGAATGAAGCCACAGTTGACTTTCCAACTCAGCTTTGCACACTGTGCAGAACGCTGGTCAGAGAGCTAGCCCTGCAGGCTGCTTTGCTGGAGGCAGGCTGTCTCTCACTCCAGCTGGCCTGGCAGGAAGGAGGGGAGCTCCTGCAGTTTCTCTGGGGCTGTGTTTATCACCTTCAGCATTCACACTGGCCTTATACAACCTTGTCTAAGAAAGATAATTAGACAATGAGGCAATTAGATTTTGGCAGTTATAATTAAAGTTATTAAAATTGTGAAAAGGTAGTGGTCACTAAGAAACTGACCCATGTATGATCTTAGTATGCTTTAGCCTATTCAGCTTCCTCTTCCACTTCCTCTCCTCCATTAATAAGAATGACAAATATTAAAACAAACAGACTTCCAGAATATTTTCTCTTTAACTTGAGAGTTAGGAAAAAATACAGACAAGCAGATAGGGGAGAGAGATTTCATCTGTTGGCTCATTTTGCACATGCCCACAAGGACTAGAATCTTGCTAAGCTGAAGCTGGGAGCCAGGAACTCCAGTTGGGTCTCTCACATGGATGGCAGAGTCCCAGCTACTGTAGGACTGCATTAACAAGAAGTTGGAATAGACAGGTGAACTGAGACTCAGACCCAGGTACTCTATTATTGGATATAAGCGTCTTAATCCCAAGCCCATACTTGGCCTTCTGTGGTTCCTCACCCCCTGCATAAAAGGGAAGCTTCTTTTCTGGGGAGAGTGAAGCAAAAATAGTGATGAGAAGGAGATCATGAAATTCATAGAGCAAAAACCCTTACCAAAAATTTTGACTGTGGTGGAGCTCGTTGCTGTTTTGCCGGAACTGAGTCTAACTTGGCAAGAGAATTTCCGGTCATCATCTTGGATTTGGACTGGAGAAAGGTAGAGTCCGTGGTCTGTGTGTAGCTTGACTCTGTCTTTGAATAATGCGGATGTGCTGTTGGGACGTTCTTGGGAGATAAGAGTTTCCTGAGTCCCATTAATTTCCTGGTAAGAAGGAAAAGAGTTCCAGGTTATGAAGCATTTGACTGTTCCAGCCCTGGACTATGTGCTTCACAAGCATTAGTTCATTATTTCTGGTAAAATAGAGAGGAAGAATGAAGAAATGGAAATTAGAGGTGTAAAGTACGTTATCAGAGAAAGAATCATTGCCTTTGATGTTCTGTTAAAACCATAGAAAAAGGCTAGTGCTAGCACTCAGCTCTCAGAAGTTCTGCTATATCCCTGCTAAGACTCCTCCCAGGCTATCTTAGAAAAGGATTCCTTGTGCAATGGAGACTATCAAGTCCAAATGTGAAGATGCAGTGCAGTGTGTATCTCTACTTCCAGACCAAAGATGGACTAGTAATGAAACTATTAGCTATATCTTGACAATGGGAGGCTGGACTCTCTGCCATTGTCCATGCCCACAATGATGAACATGTGGCTGTTTATGAAGAGCTATGTCGTAGTAATTATTTGGGGAATTAGGTGGGGAGAGAGGATTTGGGGAGGGGACAGGGGAAATAAAAATAAATAAATGAACATTTTTTTTTAAAAAGAAAAAGGAAAGAAAAATAAATAAATTTTAAGAAAAAGAAAAGAAAAGGCTTCCTCTATTGTGAGTTGACCAAATCTTTCCCAGAGATGAGGTGGAGGCCGAGGCATCTGTATTTACCAGCCAAAACTGCCAAAAGTGGCAGCCACACAGCAAGATGGTGATAAACTACTGCTCTGAGCTTCCAAAGTGAAGGGTTTTTAAAAGATCAAACCACAAACTGGGTAATAAGAAAACCAGATAAGGCAGTAAAAGCAAGACACTGTTAATCAGATAAGGGCACAGAAGGCACAGGTGGGAGCCATAAGCAGTTTACAGAAACAAAAATAGTATTCTCAGGGTGTTGGGGTTACAACCAAAAACAGTCTTTTAACCAGAACAAACATGAGTCATGGGTCATCATATCTGGGACTTGTCCTTTTTTTTTTTTTAAAGATTTATTCTATTTTTATTGCAAAGTCAGGTAAATAGCGAGGAGGAGAGACAGAGAGGGAGGTCTTTGGTCCTATGATTTACTCCACAAGTGACCACAATGGCTGGAGCTGATCTGATCCAAAGCCAGGAGCCAGGAACGTCCTCCGGGTCTCTCATGTGCGTACAGGATCCAAGGCCTTGGGCTGTCCTTGACTGTCTTCCCAGGCTACAAGCAGGGAGCTGGATGGGAAGCGGGACTGCAGGGACCAGGACTAGTGCCCATATGGGATCCCAGTGTGTTCAAAGTGAGGACATTAGCTGCTAGGCCACCCTACTTGGCCTGGACTTGTCCTTCTTTAACGTCTTGTTCAAGGGGATAAGCCAGGGATTAAGATGGAGTCACAGTTGTTTATAGTTCATTAATGTCCTCTAATGGTGTGGGGCAGGCGTAGGAGTTCAGAGAGGTGGTCCATTACAGTCGTTCCCTTCACAGGGAGGGTACCATGAGGGAAGGAGGCACAACGCATACAAGATTCAAGGATGCACTCCCTCTAGTGCTCTTTGCAAGGGACATCAGCATCTGAGAGTGAGGACCTCCTGCATTTCATGCCTTACTTAACCCCTCGTCTCTATCTTATCTTAATGCAGGTCCTGGCACTTCTTGCCTTGCTTCTGTGTTTGCACAAACTACATAGAGGAAACATGAAAAACAGGTTGTAAATGTGAAGTTGGGTATAAGATGTAATTTCAACTCGACATTCCTCTACTTCATATCCTTCCTTGGGTCTGTGAAGCACAGCCTCTCTTACTGGTGTTCTACGCAGTGTGTTCAAGAATAAGCTCACTGGACTGTAACAGTACTGATTGTATCGGTCAATGTGCTGACCGTGAACACAGTAAGGGGAGGATTACTGGGGTACACTCGAGTGGAGGAGCAGTCTTACATTCCTACATCCCTCTGTAGTGAAATTCACATTCTTAGTCGAGTTGCTCTGAGAATACTCTGCTGCACAAGCTTCTTCTCCAGAGAGCCTAGTCTGACTGCTTGCTCTATTTTATTGCAATGTGTGCAGCAGATCCAGGGCTGAGAAATACCAGGTTAACCATAAGAACCAGCTGGATCATTGTGTGGGTGAAAATGGAGGGAATGAAAAGTAAGAAGGGTCCATCAGAACGCATTTGATGGGGAAAAAGTCACAGAATGATGAAAATAAACATTTGTGACCACTTGTGAATGAGACAGATTCGAGGCAGAAGAAAGGCAGGTAAATGGATGAATGCAAAGATAGGCAGAAACACAAAAGCAGACTTTCAAAGTAGTTTAAATAGACAGGTAGACATGTATGCCACAGAGAGTTTCAGAAAATACTTAGTAGCATGTTCTCTGTAGGACACAGTCCTATAACTTCCTCTGTGTAGGCTCTGAATCAGCTGCACATACAGATGGTGGAGTGCATGCAAAGAATCATACCCTGCTCAACTCTCACCCCAGGGATAATATGTGCAACTCTGTACCCCGCAAACGCTACAAAGGTAAGTAAGAGCATGTGCTACTGTCAGTCTAGCAAAACAGAGCATCAGAAAACCAAAGGAAGAAAAATTGTCTACCTGAGACAGGGCTCCAAGAGGAGCCTTGAGGACTGGGTGGGTGGTTGAGGGAGAAAGAGCTGGGATTTGTTTGGCCCATCCTGGTGAACTTGGAGGCCATAGTTTGGGAAGCAGGCTACCTCTTCAGGTCCTTCAGCACAACATCACACACCTGACAGCCTTGTATGCACTTTTTGTGAGGCTTTTGGAAGCCAAAATTGCCTTAGTCATTTGGTAAAGATTGTCATTTGAACTACTACCATCTGTTAATCTGTTGTGGGAAGAAGGGCAATCCCTGGCACAGGTTTGAAACTGGTGAAACTGCTTTTACCTTGTTAAGTAACAGGAAGTGTCTGGCCCAGCAGTTTAATTGGTAGAGGAAAAGACACATTTTCTCCACTCCTTTCTCCAAATTTAATCAAAGGTTTTATTTTACTGTTTCTGGACAATTGATTATTGCAGAGAAAGGAAGATTTTTCTTCATCAAGAAAGGTGGGAATCAACTGCAAGGAGGATACTAGGCCACAGCATGAGAGCTCCTAGAGTGCAAGGGACAGATATAGATGGTGCTATGTATAAAGGGATCCATGAATTGACTGTTGCAGGTGGCAAAATGAATTGGAACCAACAGTGGCTGGTGCACAAGAGTCAGGTCTGAAGTCACCCCAGGCAAGGTTTCTTATGGGACTTCCCAACTCAAATTCTGGTCACAAGAAAATCATAAGAAATGTGGTTGATCATGGAATGCATGTGTCAGGACTGGGCCTCCTCAGGTTCTGATGCCTGTGCAATGGGCCGCATGACCAGCTGCACACAGGGAACATGGCAGCTAGCTCATCTAGGACAAATGAGGATATTGAGTGCCTTATCAAAGCACGGAAACCAGACTAGGTTGAATGATTTGCCTGTCCAAGCTTTACAGCATGTTCCTGGGTTCTGTGGATGCAGTGGTGGGCTTGGTCAGCCAACAGACCTTGGAAAGATTTTCTTAACCTTGGTGCCATGAAGTCAACAACTTCTCAGAACTATCAAAACCACTCAAGTAACACCCTCAGAACACTCTTCCCTACATCGGGGTCTCTAAGGTGTCATCAATGACTATCCCACATTCCCAGGTGCTGACGGAGTTTGACTGTAGGGGTGGCCCCCTCCCCATCACCCTTTGCAGACACAGGAGAAAAAAAGAAACAATGTCTCACCCACCTACCTTCCTCTATACCTCAACCCTCCCCACCCTAATCAAGGCTTACATGGGTATACAGTCCACTCAATTATGTGAACAATATTAAAAATTAAAAATTAAAAAATAGAAGACAGCATGGCAGGAACCTGCATGTGAATGTTTGCCCTAACAAAACAAAAGTAAAGCAGAGAAGGAACAGATTCCCAAATGTAAACAATAAAAAAATCTAGCAGCTGGGGAGGGAGAAATACTACTAATATGCTATAACCACTTAAAATTTTATGTTCTCATTAGTTACAGCTTAAATTTGTTCACCACCTACTATTTTGTAGGCATTGTACAAAGTTCTTTCAAGTGTTATTTACTCCTTACAATAATTGGAAATAAACTGATGTTAAATAACTCAAAGGCCACACAAAGTAAGTTTAAATGAGAATATAAAAAAGTAAGGATGCTCAGAACCATAAACACCAGAGATTACTTGTGCTAGTAAAAACCAAATCATTAAAAAAAAGTAGTAAAGCAGTTTTCTGGCCTTCTGGTATGAAACAAAGAAGATTGAGAAATCCAAAAATCTTCACAGAAGTTGTGGATTGCAGTGGTGTGGGCAGCTTTTATTTCAGATAGATTGATGATTTCGATAATAAGAGCCATAGAGAATCCTTCAATTCCTTCCTGATGATAACGATGTTAGGTAACTTGGTCTACAGGCAGCAAACAAATAGGGTTCCCGTACAAAGCATTTATTTCTACTTATTTTGCTCTTCTTATTTTCAAACAAATTTCATCACTTTAAAAATATTAGTAAGTATTTCTAAAACGTTGTGTAACATTCAAGGCATCACCTTAGAAGCAGAGAGATTAATCTTGGCCCCAGGATTTAAAATTTCTCAGATTCCAGAATTATTGAAAGCATAATTTTCTGTGATTTATAACCACTCTCAAGCATTCCGGACAAAGAATGGACTAAGTCAGTGATAAAAACCATGCATTACTCAACCTGGTCTCCTATTGCTTCAACTTGTGTATACTTTACTTTTGGTGTCACCATGGCTAATGAAAACTCCTAGGGGGACTGGAAAATACTGTTCCTAGAAAAATCCAAATAAAGCAAGATCTCAAAATAAATAGCACCCTGTCTTACATTCTTGTCTTTATATAATATTTTGATATTTGGGGAGGGGGTTTTAGATTTTTCCTAAATTTTTAATTTAAAATATTTTATTAAAATACTCACTTTGGGGGTTGTCATTGTGTAGTGTAATA